ATATATATATATGATATTTTACTAACCTTCAAGTAATATTTCAACCAACACCATTTTCTTGATGTAATGCCAATAATTCCACCTTCAGGAAGGTTTTCATTGCTGCCCAGTCTTGTAAATGCAGTAAAATTTTTTAGGTAAAGAGCACCACGTATTAGAAAAAATATTCCGTCCTGGGATAGCTTCGCATCAGACACACTGTGTCTTTCATCGTCAGTCAGAATGTTTGGAGGCACCCTGATTCTGGTCCAAGTACGAAATGAATCATTTGTTTGAAAGGTCTCCATATCGGCTACCGCAATAGCATATGCGGCATAGCAAGCATACCAGTCTGATATTAACTGACTACCACGCGGTGAAGAGATTGGTAAAAAGCCAGGAATCTCAGGTATTGTCAACAAAGGAAACGTCAGCACGAAAAGCAAATCTGCAATAAAGCAATCTTGAAAAGCCGCTTTATTTCCTTTGATCAGCTTTATTGCATCTGTTGACATTGGTACTGAGATTTGCCAGGTCCTAAGAAGGGAAAAATAGAAAATGTATAAATAAAACGGTCTCTTTCTTTTCCTCCATCCATCTTGCACAGTGCTGGCGTTTATCATCTTTAAATTTTTAAAAAAAATTTTTTATCAACATGAATCTGGGTAAAATAAATCAAATAGTATTAAAATGCTACCACTGCCCCATTTCTCCTCATTCTTCACTCTTGTTCCCAAAGGAAAATAATATTGACTCTTAATGCTTTTCTGCAACGTGTCTTCATATTCTCAAATATTCTTATATTGCTCTCTTAATATATAATTTTTACACATTATTTATTGGCTTCTTAGATGACAGATGAAGATGTATCTCTCATGAAATATATCTACTGATATATCTTCTTTTCTCTCAAATTAATGTCACAGTGTTTAGCTAACTCTATAGTGCTTATATTGTTATTACTGTGTAAATATTGTTTATGACTGAGCCAGTTAGTGTACTAGGATTATGTTTTCTTTTAAATATATATACACATTTATTTATTTATTTATAATATTTTCCCTAGAGTTGATCATTATTCTATTTTGAAAATTTGTTTAGTTTTCTAAGTGTTCCAATAGGTAGCTGAAATGGTGCTCAATAACATTTTTCATGTGACAAATACAGAGGTAATCTAGTAATAGTTTCCCAGGATTTCCTTTCATTATTCCCTGGGTTAAATCCACCATTTACTGGATCCAATGCTTTGATCTTTCCTGTTTTGCTAAAGCACATTTCTTTAGTACCTCTCTGTAAAGGGTATATGAACATAAATTTTTTTGAGACCCTGAATATCCAAAAATATCTTCAACAGACTTGCTTGATATTTTAGCTAGGTAGAGACTTCAGAAGTTTGAGCACATTTTGTATTTAGGTTTACTAATGAGAAGTCAGATGACACATTCGTTCTTGTTGTTATTTAAATAGGTTGCCTTTCCATAAGTTTTTAGGATCTTCCCTTTTTTTCTTGGTATTCTAAATTTTGACAGGGCTGGATTTATCTTTTGAAGTTGACACACAAAGGGATTTGTGAAAACAAGCACTCTGACATATGTCTTAGAAGTCATGGGAAGTTCTAAGGAGCACTTCTCAGTTGGGCAATCCAGGAGACATTAGGCTGTAGGATGGTCAATAGATGCTTCTTTAGTTTCCTACTTCCTTAATGAATACATACGGGTTGGTGGTGATGGCAATCTGCCTACTCAGAATGAGATCCAGCCAGGTCAAGAGGACCCCATGTTGGGGAAATTGTAGGGTTGTCACCAAACTTCTATGCACTAAGCCATGCCACCAAGAAACTCAGTGCAATTACCGCGTTTTGCAAGTGACACTATTTACTGTAACATTGGTTTTAATTACATTGTTTAAAAATCGCCAGTACCATTTTGTTACATTGTCCACTAGCTGTATAGTAATCTTATATATGCAGCCACATTACAACCAGGTATCAGTGACTATTTTGTTTGAATGGATAACTGGTTCTCTACAAGGCCTAGGCAGGACCCAGCACTCAAGGTCTGGCCGGGGCATACTGAGCCTTTCAATCCTCCACGTCTATCATTTTTGTTTTCAAACCTTTTTGCTTTTATATTGTGACTACACATTTTACAATTTTTCTTTCTTACTTGACTCCCATTTTGTAGCATCTTACTCTTATGTATATATCTTCTATTTCTGAGAAGGATATTATTTATTTTTTTTGTGGGTTTTTTTTTTTTTTTTTTGCTCCTCGCTGTGCACTGTTTCCTGAGTTCCATTGTTTTTCTTATTGATTTGGGTCTCTGACTTCCTTGTTGGAGGCTTTGTGTAATTGTCTGGTGGTCTTTGGCTGTCCATTAATATTTAAGAGAGAAGCAGTAACAAGCTGAGAGTCAGTTTTAAGGGGATAGCCCTTACTCCCCTTGTGCCCCACTGTGCTTCGGCCCTCCCAACTCCAAACTTCAGTTCTTTTAAGTAGGTCTGATCAGTTAATTCAAAGAAGAATTCTTTTCTGTCTTGCCAGGAGGACATATGCTAGGTTTCCATATTCAGGAATCGAGGCTGGAGAAAAAAGACTGAAGACACACTGGGAGTTCCCATCCCATTAGAATTTTTTTCTGAAAGCTATTAATTAACAGAATTGCTGTGCTCTAAGTCAGTTACCACTTCTCTCTCTGCTTTCTATTTTCTTTTCTTGTGCTCCATCTCATTGCTTTTCCTCATAGGCTTGCAAATTTAAAAACGATTCTCCTTGTTATTTTAGTGAGACTACAGAAGAGGACAGAGATAAAGAAATTAAATATATTTTATCTGCCATGTTTTAATTTATCTCCTTTAAACTGAATTTCATTAAGTCATATTCTTTCTTTTTCTTTTTCTTTTTTTTCTTTAAGAGAAGTAAGCCTTTTATTTTCCTTGTTTCACAAATAAAGTTGGCTGTGCTGGTTGCTTTTTGGGCATTAGTCAAAGAGACCAAATCCCATATCCTCGTCAACTCCTCTGACGCTTCCTTTGCTTCAACCTTGGCTGGGGCTGCGGCAGCAGCAGGAACAGCAGTGGGGGGCAGCGGCCACAGGGGCAGCGGCCATAAATGCAGAGGGATCACCCAAGAAGGCCTTGACCTTTTCAACAAGTGGGAAGGTGTAATCGGTCTCCACAGACAGAGCCAGTACGCGCTTGTACCCATTAATGATAGAATGGGGTACTGATGCAACAGTTGGGTAACCACTCTGCAGACATAAGCTGGCAACACTGAGGACACCCTCCAGGAAGCGGGAGTGCAGAGTTTCCTCTGTGATGTCAAGCACTTCCGGGTTGTAGATGCTGCCATTGTCCAACACCTGCTGGATGATCAGCCCAAAGGAGAAGGGGGAGATGTTCAGCATGTTCGGCAGTGGGGCTTCACTGGCTCCCACCTTGTCTCCAGTCTTAATCAGCTGCACGTCACTCAGGGTGTCAATGGTGCCCCTGGAGATGTTAGTGGTGATGCCTAAAGCCTGGAAGAAGGAGGTCTTCTTGGGCCCCAGGCCAGTGCTCTGGGCTGGCACAGCGACTTCACAAGGAGCAATGGCACCAGCACGGGCAGCAGCTGGCACCTGATTGGCCAGCAGCATGTCCCTGATCTCGGCGAGGTCCTCCTTGGTGAACACAAAGCCCACATTCCCCTGGATATGAGGCAACAGTTTCTCCAGAGCTGGGCTGCTTTCCAGATGCCCTCGGATGGGATGTTCTTGCCCATCAGCACCACCGCCTTCCCTGCGCAGGGACGTGCAGATCTGCTGCATCTGCTTGGAGCCCACGTTGTCTGCTCCCACAATGAAGCATTTTGGATAATCATCCAGAAGTTGGATGATCTTAAGGAAATAGTTGGACTTCCAGGTCGCCCTGTCTTCCCTGGGCATCACGGCGGTGCGTCAGGGGTTGCCACGCAGGGTTTAAAGACGATGCCACTCTCACGAGGACGCCTGGCCAGAGAAGCTCATTAAGTCATGTTCTGCTTAGGAACTTCAGTGGCCCCTTAATTATGCCCAGGAAGAAACTTAAAACTATTCCAAATGATTTTCAAGGACTCTCCATTATTTTTTCCTATTCAATTTTACTTGCCATATTATATTTCAGGTGTGCTCCTCCTTTCTGCCTCCCAAAACTCTCTGTACTCTTCCTCTCTTGGAGCACCCATTCCATTTTCTTCATCTCTGTATTCTACTTGTCCTTCGAGTCCTGTCCAAGAACTACATCTTCTACTTTGCTTTCTTGTTTGACCACAAAATAAATCTTTTATAGGGATAATCTTTTCTAAACCCAGATTAGTCAATCATGTGGATGGTATTTTATGGCAGCCAAGGCAATGTTTTTTTATATGGAGCTCTGATATTCTCTACATGTGTATAGTTTCTTCATATTTTAAAAAATATCATTAATTTAATATTTTCATTATTAATGTATCACATATATGAAAGAATGTGTGCTACACAGGCACAGTTTAAAGAATAATACTAAGATGAACACCCGTGTACTAGTCACCCAGATCAAAAATCGGAACATAACCAATACCTTGGAAATTTCCTGTATGTTCCTCCCTCCCTCCCTTTTTTTCCCCCTCCTGCTTACAGGTAATCACTGGCCTGATTTTGTATTTGCATTTGTGTTTACATTCCTGGGCTTTTAAAAACTAGTTTTGCCACATGCCTTACTAAACAATGAAGAATGCAAGGAGAAATTTTAAAAAAGTCCATTAGTACAGTTGGAGACGTCAACACCTCTCTATCAGTAACTGACAGATCCAGCGGCAGAAATCAGTCAGGACATAGCTGAACTGAACAGCACCATCTATCAACCACATCTAATTGGCATTTAAAGAACACTTCACCCAACAACAGCAGAATACACATTCTTCTCAAATGTGCATGGAACATTCACCAAGATACACCATATCCTGGCTCATAAAACACACCTTAAGGAATTAAAAAAAATAGAAATCATACAAGGTATGCTCTCAAAACACAATAGCATTAAACTAGAAGTCAATAACAGAATGTTAGCTGGAAAAATCCCATCCCCAGTATTTGGAGATTAAACAACAAACTCCCAAATAACACATTAGTCAAAAAATAAATCTCAACTGAAATTTAAAAATAGTTCAAACTAAATGAAAATAAACATACAACAGCAAAATTTAGAGGAATGAAGTGAAAGCAGTGCTCAGAGGGAAATTTATAGCATTAAATACATATGTTAGGAAAGAAGAAAGATCTAAAATTAATAATCTGAGCTCCAACTTGGGAAACTAGAGAAAGAAAAGCAATATAAAGCTAAAGGAAGCAGAAGGAAAAACAATAAAAAAATTAGAACAGAAATCCACAAACTGAAAACAGAAAAAAAATGGAGAAAATAAATTAAGACCAAAAGCTGGTTCTTTGAAATGTTCAATGAGATTGATAAAACTTTCTAGCTGGGCTAACTAAAGAAAAAAGAGAAAGGACACAATATGCTAATATCAGAAAAGAGAGCCAGGCCATCACTACTAATCTCATGTATGTTTACAGATAATAAAAGAATACTATGAACAATTCTATGCCCTTAAATTTAGATGAAATGGACCAATTGAAAGAAACTATCTACCAAAATTCACATAAGGAGGAATAGATAATGTGAATAGGGATATATCTATTAAAGAAATTGAAAAAACAATTAATAACCTTCCAAAACAAAAAGCACCAGGCTCAGACAGGTTCACTGTTGAATTCTAATATTTAAGAAACAAACGATGCCAATTCTTTACAACCTGTTCCAGAAAGCAGAAGCAAAGTGAATACTTCCCAGCTCATTTTATGAGATCAGCATTAACCTAATACCCAAACCAGATATACACATTACAGATGTTGCTACAGACATCTTGAATCCAGCTCTGTGTAAAAATAATTATATACTGTGACCAAATGGAACTTACTCCAGTTATGCAAGTCTGGTTTGACTTCAAAAAATAAATTAATGTAATCCATCACATCTGCAGGTTAAGGAAGAAAAAGTATATAATCATATCAATAGATGCAGAAAAAGCATTGGAGAAAATCCAGCATTCATTCATGATAAAAACTCTCAGGAAGCTAGCAACAGAGGAGAACTTCCTCAACTTGATAAAGAAGCATCTACAAAAATTAAACAAAAACTAAACAGAAAACTTAGTGGTGAGAAACTAGATGCTTTCTTCCAAGTGGAGGAGCAAAGCAAAGATATCTCTTCTTGCCCCACCTATTCAACATCGTACTGGAAGTGCTAGCTAACACAGACAAGAAAATGAAATAAAAGGTATACAGGATTGGGAAGGAAGTAATAAGATGTTCTTGGTTTGCAGATGACGTGATTATC